GCTATGGGTCGGAACCGACTCAACGGCACTTAACAACAACAACAATAACGTTCCCGTTGTGCCACAAGTAGCCTGACCCTCTCCCAAGCCACAAACACTCAGCTGTTAGAACCTACCAGTGGTGCCGCAGAAAGACAGATGTGTTAGGACCGACCTGCAGCTCTGCAGAAGACAGATGTGGCAGTCTGCTACCACAGCCCTGCATAGCCAATGTGTAGTTCTACTCTGTCCTATAGGGTCATTATGAGCCTGGAGGAATTAACAGGCTGTCCTTCAATGTTATCACTGTCTATAAATGAACACACAAGCACACACAACACTAAGGCTGCAGACATTAGCAGAGCATTTTCTCCTGTGTGAAGTTACTAAGTAGCCATTAGGACTAGAAGTCAGCACATGAGGCTGAAAGTCCCTCCTGACATTCGTGAAGAGAAACAGCACTCAGTTCTCCTTTTTCATACCTATCCCTAAACAAGCTACGTGACTGTAAAAGCCATTGCCAAGGTGCGCTTTTTAGGTGAAAAGAAATGTGCTTGTTGAGGACAGCAGGGCCAGAGGACAAGACTTTGAGATGAGGAGGGCTATATGTTTGCGAGAGCTGGGTCTGCCCCTTAATAGCTGTGTGACTTTGGGCAAATTATTTATTCTCTCCAAGCCTCAATTTCCTCCTTGCAAAATGGAGACCACAGAAATGTCTACACCACAGAAGAATTAACAGCGAACCTGTGGTCACAAAATGAACTCTAATACTATTACCATCATCACCACCACCAATCCTCTGACCATTCCAGAAATGCCAGGAAACACTCATCCTCTTTACAAGATATCCAGAAAGTCACCTGACCTTGCTGGGCGTCAAATGTATACCTATGGAGGTCACAAAAAGAGACCTCAAAAGAAGGCTGAAGAGTCCCATCAATGGCATGGGAGGCACAGTCACTGTATGTCATCACAAAAACATAACAAAATGCCAGTGGTAACCAGAGGAAGACTTGGGCTCCACCTTTTCCTCTCCTGCGTTTGTAAAGAGCTGTAGTGCAGGACAAGCACTGGACTGCTAACTGCCAGGTCTGTGGTTTAAATCCCCCAGCCGCTCCTCAGAAACGCTATGCAGGGTCTCTGTGAGTTGTAACTGACTCCACGGCACTTGACAATTTTGTAAAGCAGAGCCATGGTGAAGCAGTAATTAAAGCGCTCAGTCGGAAGTTTGGTAGTTCGAACCCACCAGCTGCTCCTGCAAAGACTACAGCGTTAGAAACCCCAAGGAGCAGTCCTGCTCTGCCCTGCGCGGTTGCTGTGCGTCGGGACCGGGACTGGGTTTGGGGTATTTGTAAAAGCCGTCTGAACAGTGAGCATCAGCAGGGTCACCCAAGGTCACCGGAAGCCTCAGTCTCCCCGCTCCGCTGCCGGGTTCCATATCCTCGCTCTCCGGGCTCCCCCGGACCTCAGCCGCACCCCCAGCTCCGCGGCCCCCACCCGGCTCCCGGGAAGTGCTCACGCGCAGCTCGGGCCGCAGCCGAGCGTACTGCTCCGACAGCCAGAAGCCGCGCCTGTCCTCCAGCGGGATGAAGGGCTGCTCAGGGTAGCGCGCACGGAACTTCCGGAGGAAACCGCCCTCGAAGTCGGCCAGCACGCCGTCCATGTCCACGAGCACCCGCAGGGCGCGGCCGCCCGCCCCGCACGACGCCGGCAGCCGCATGCTCGGGGCCCCACCGGGCCGCCGCAAACACCTGCCGCCCAGCCGTATCATGGTCCCGCAGACACGTTCGCCGCGGGCGCCGGAGCCCGACCCGTGGGCAGGCCACATGGGAGGAGAAGCCCACCGGCCGGCGCCCCACAGGCAGGCCCTATACCAGAGCGAGGCTGTGAGGCACGCTCCCTCACAGCAGTGTGGGCGCACGGACGCGCGCTTAAAAGCGCAGGCGCGAGGCAGAGGCGGGTCCGGGGCGGGGCCTCAAGGACCTCCCGGCGTTGTCCCAGCCTCTCCCTGGGACTCGTTCTGGGCCCATTTTGTTGCTGTGGGTGTGCAAGACCCGTGGGCCCCGCAGCGCTGGCTTGTGTCATGCATTGTGTTCGGAGTCTGGACTTAGGCATAGGGGGTACTGTGGTGAGCAAATAGCCGAGGTTCCGACTGTCCTGTAACTTCCGTTTGGGAGGGGGAGCCAGACAGAAGCAAACACACCTACAAAATAAGCAAAATAATTACATAGAAGGAGTATGAAGTGACAATTGTATGAAGGGACCGAAACGGGCCGGCATACACTTTGAGGGCGTCTATATGGTGACGAACATCCGTGGAAAGGTTGATTTTGGCAATACATCATGATGCGTTAATAAACATTTTATTTCCAAATAAGCATATGAATAAATATGGTATGGACACCTGTCAACCATGAAAATGGTACAGGATCTGGCCACTTTTCCTTCTGTTAAACATAAGGTAGCCGTGGGTCTGAGTTGACTGGACACCTGTATAGAAGGAGCTCTAGTAGCGTAGTGGTTATGAATCGGGTTGCTAACCTCAGGGACAGCAGTTAGAAACTACCAGTTATTCTGCAGACAAACGATGAAGACTTACTGCTCCTGTAAAGATTTACAGCCTCAGAAACCCTGTATAGGGTCACAATGAGTCAGAACCGACTCCACGGTACATCACGACCACCAGTATACATTGCTTTATTTAAAAGTAACAATAATAATAAACAATAAAAGACAGGATGATGTGATGAAGTAGAGTTGGAGGGATTGGCAGGGTGTCATTCGGTTAGGTGGTTTGAAGGAAGGTGTCTTGGAAGATATGGCACTCAACAGAGCCCTAAATGGTGAGAAACACCACGCAGTGGGCATAGTGGTCCAGAGAACAGTGAGTTCATAGCCCAGGAGGGCGGAGTGAGCACTCAGGGCTGACAGAAATCTAGTGAGACCAAAATGCTCATTCCTGGTGGCCTAAAGATTAGGAATCGGCTACTACAAGGTCAGCAGTTAGAAATTACCAGCCATTCTGCAGGAGAACAATGAGGATTTTTGCTTCCGTAAAGATTTACAGCCTCGGAAATCCCATAGAGGGTCACTTTGAGTTAGAACCGACTCTACGGCACATAACCACCACCACCACCACCATCACCACCGTATTTATATGGCAACAACTGTTTGCTTTAGCAATGGATAGCAAGTGAAGAAAGTCCCCATCGTCTTAAAAAAGACATTTTCGGATCTTCCTGGAAGTATGGTTGTATAACCTGACGCCAGCGAGATTGGCAGGGGCCAGCAGGGAGGCAGCATGGGGGAAATATGTGGGCAGTGGTATCACATAAGTCCAATCCAGGCACATTACAGGGACAAGTGGACTCAAGGATAGGGACCAAATGGTTCATCCCTGCATCATGAATGAATGGAGATTCCTGTAATAAGTCTCAGCTTATTCTCTGACACCACCTAGCTAATATTTCCTACAGTGCTCCTCTACATCAATATTCTTTCCCTAAATGCGTCGCTGTGTTATTCTCCACAATTTTACTATGAAAACTTTTCAAACATAGAAAACTTGAAAGAACTGTACAATGGAATATACACATGCGCACCACCTTCATTCTATAGTTAACATGTTGCTCTCTATTTGTTTTAGCACAATGCATTTATTTATTAATCTGTATCCATCTTATTATTTGAAGCTTTTCTAAGTAAGTTGCAAACATCAATACATTCCACCAATAGACACTTCCACCTACAGAGCATTACTGAATTCAATATTCTTTTTTTTTTTTAAATAAATGTTTTATTGTGAATTGTGTGATAGTCTACATGGGAGAACATTAGTTTTACATTCATTCTATCATCTATCGTTTCATTGGCATAGTTACCATCCCATCCGTGCATCCTCACCCAACCAAAGGGTGTACCCTGTAAGCCTGCACCCCCCCCACCACCACCACAGTCCTCAGTCCCTTTCCCTCTCCGGATCCCAAGTCCCCAGCCACACCATCTCTTGACGTCGTCTTCTCTACCTCCATCTCAGGCCTCACTGCATCTCTGGGTAGGATCCCGCTCTCCGCTTTTCTCCATTGATGGTACTAGGGTCCTCCGCTCCTAGACTGAAAAGTTAATCACTCCCCTCCTTGCTACAAAATGTCCACCTTTAGATTTCCAACCCTCACAATCAGTCCTGAGAACAATTATTCACTATTGCATCACAAGAGACCCATCTGTATTTCATTTCATCAGCCCTTCCTGGACAGGCTGGATACTATTCAGTGGAGACTCTACCTTCCTCCACGCCCTTTGGATCTAGGTTCCCTCTTGGAAGCTTGGAAGCCAGTCACTTCTTGCCTTTGTATCCCTCCCCCCATTTTGGCTAGCCAATGTCCAAGTTGCCCATCCCTGTCTACCCTTTGTGTGGAGGGGGTGGGAATAGTTCATGCAGCAGGGATTTGTTTCCTCTTTTGAGCTACTGCATTTATAGGTGTAGGTCATGTTTATTGAATTGTATCAGATGACGCTTTTTTCCTCTTCTTTCTTCTTAGGGTTGAGCTCTGTTTATCCAGTCATTGAAGCCAGGTCAAGTGGGTATCATCTGCAAGTATGGGTGTTCTTGCGTCTGTCCGCCCTCTGTTTTATCGGCTGGCTGCCCTGCTCTCCATTCTAGTCCTCTGTAGCTGTGTCATTGACTCTGAGCCCACGAGTCCCCAGGTCTTGCCTCGCTGTTGGCCGACCAGGTCTCCACCTGGGTTCACAGTAGTTTGCTGAACGATGTAGGGCTTAGCTTGCCACTTCATTGATGCTCTTTAGTCACTTCCCTTTCTGGGTGACGTGCATGGTTGCCAATCAAAGCATATATTTCCCTTGCGTCTTAGTCTTGGAAGAGAATTTGCACTGAGAGGACCCGACCACTTGCCTTGATGTCTCCTGGGCAGGCCACCTGCATGTTCTTGTGGTAACAGTCAGACTGCCCTTATTGTTTTGTATTTTTCCTGTAGGTCCTTCTTTCAAGAAGTATCTTCTGGTTTTCTAGCTGCTCCCGGCTGGTATGCTTGTCCTTTCAACTGGAAAATTTCCCGTCTCTGAAGGTCTGGATATGGTTCGGGCTTCCACCTATACTCCCATGTAATGCAGAGGCTCCTCAGGAAACCTCCTTCATTGGACACATTGTAGCCCCATTTTAGGTATTCCAATCAGTTATAGGCAGAAGATGGGCTTACAAGCTTTCTATGGTGATATT